ATGTAATTATTTTTTTAAATATTGCTTTAATTTTTCCCTCCTTAGACAATTACATTTCATTTTTGCACCTGTTTAAACCTCCTGCTCTGGATTTAATGTTTGTTTGTTTTTTCAGTAAAAACATCAACTCCTAAACTTTAACATTAGTTGTAACAGTAAATTATTCTGTACCATAAAGCTCAAACTTCATTTAAACTAACAACAGGCTTTTTCCGATCAGAGGAATTTTTTTTAAATTTAGTGCTTCTCAATTGGTGGGTCGGACTTGGGACCCTAAAGTGGGTCGGAAGAGCCGTTTTCAGTGGGTCGGGAAATTGTGCCTATAAAATTTTGTCAAAAAGACTTTGAAATACTTTTTAACATGTTCATCGTATTCCATCTCTTTGTTCTGTCACATGTCAATCTAATAGGTTGAAAACCACTGCTTTAAAGGACAGTTTGAAGACCCCTTCCCATTTTTTCCGTTCGCACTGCCAGAACTGTGAACTATTTCTGTCCTTGAATTGAACTTTTTCAGCTCATTTAGCTAAAAATGAACCCTGAGAGATGTAATGTACATTTCGATCAAACACATGAGCCAGTGCAGCATCAGCAACTGCCATCTCTGAAGACCTGTGTAAAAATGTATCTAACTGTTGCCTTGAAATATGGAGAGAATAAGAGAAAATTACCTCCGTTCAAAACCTACCTGTCTACTTTTTAGCTCAGTTATTATCATTCAATCCTCAACAAAAACAAACAGCTCTTTCTGCAGCCTCTTTCCACCTGCTGGCGTGCTTTGTCACTATTTTAACTGGCTTATGCAAACAAACAAAAATCCCTTGGAGGTACATGAAGTTCTAAGTGGACAGTTTGTGTAAAGTGATTGTTTGGTCTGTAAACACACAGAAAGTGAGTTAAAGGCGACTTTTATCCTGCATGAACACAATACAAACTAAAAATGTGCACAGGATTAATCGCATGTAGTTTAGACACAGCAGACACATACTAAAAATATTCACATTGTATGTTTTTTCAGAGTTTTACGCTCAAGTCCTTTATCAGTTCTTTAAAGTTGCAGCGTTGTCATGGAGATGATTCATTCGCGATTGCATGACCTAAACGTTGAAATTCCTTTTAATAAGTGCATGTTTTTGTTTTATTAGGGGGATCAATGATAATTCAGTAGCCATACTAAAAATCTGCTAAGAATTTATGGTCATGTTATTTCTGAAGACAATAATGAGCAAACTAAATGTAGTTTTATGTATTGACCTCTAGGGGGCAGTGTTCATTCGTACGACTGAGGTTATAGTGGGCCGATGGAGATAATGACTGTATTTGATACTATTCTGTGTGTATAAGTCATAGACTATAAAAATGAAGGTATAAATACATTGATAAAAGTTTAAGTAGTACAATATTTAAATTACATTAATAATGTCCATAACTGTTTGGAAATGAGGCACATGTAACAAGTTGAATCTACAGAGGCACCTGACAGGGACAACTTGAAAACACAGCACAGTTAAAAAAAAAAAATGAAATAAAGAGAAAAAATGAAAAACTATATTTGTTAACAGTTTGATGAAACACAACATTAACCTAGAGTCACCTGAAAGCCTCTCTGTTGCTCTAATTGGGTCATAGCTTCTGTGTTGAGCTGATTTTTTAGCAGCTTTCCTCTCGTCTGCCTCAGGAATCTGCTCCTGACGTGTAGCTGCAAGAAGTCCAGGTTTCCAGTTGACACTGGCAGTGTGAGTTAGGAAAAGAGCAGTCAACCCAAATCTTTCTCAACACACTCTACTACAAGACCTGCAATTGTGTTAAAACCACTTGTCATGCAACGTATCTTTATATATTGCACTTGCTCTTATCTGAACTTTCACATTGGGATGGAAAATCGTGTTTTAACAGAAGCTGAGCACAAATGTGATAGCAGTGTTAATGAGGGGAGAACCCTAAGGACATCTTTCATACCATATTCTACCACAGCCCAGGATGAATTCGTTTTTTTGTGGTCAATATGAACATGTGTGACTATGTCGCACCAGCATCCCTGGAGGGCCTAATGTTTAACACCCAATGTGGCAGCAGTAAATCCTGCAGTTAAAAGTAAGCGTCCAGTTCACGTAGAAAAACTACTACATCAGCTCAATAGTTTTTAATTGCTTGTGTCAAAGTATTGTACAAAAGGATCTCTCATTATATGAAATCTGTATCTGAGCCTGGCATGTGAAAAGTAGTACTCAAGTTAAACAATAATCAAAACATTTACAAGGAGGGCCTAACTCAAAGTTTCAGACTAAAGTACAGTTTTGAGGAGCAAAAATCTATTAAGTAACTCATTACTCATTCATTGGGGTTTAAGCTTTAATTACTGAATCATTCATGTAATGTTAAGGTTAATTTTTTGGGGTGAAGTTTATGTAGGCTCCTTTTTAAAAGGTCTCAACTAGCTACTGCATGAAAAGAGGTGACAAGGTTTATTTTTAAGCATAAACGGCTGATTCTAAGATAAGGAATGACACTTTCAAACTAAAAGTCTAATTGACTTTTTGGAGAATACACTTTCTGTCTTGCCTAGTTTAACTTAATGAGACAGTTGATACCTTTGTGTCTTTAGCTATAAAGCTAACAGCCAGTTAGCTTAATTATGCATGAGGCATGAGTGGAAACAGCCAGCCTGTGTCACACCAAATTCATTTAACATTTTACGATACAGCGTGTTTCTGAACTCTAGAAAGAACTGGGCTGGCAGTTCTCCCCTGCTTTAAAATCTCAAAATGTCTAACCTAGACTAATGTGTTGTTAGCATGTGTTATTTAATGCAGACTAAATATTCTCTGAGGTTGTGATTCAGAAAGAAAGTCTCATACTGTAGCCTAGAGATGAATGAAAACTAGCAGACTGATATAACATTGATTAAGAAGTTTCAGGTGACTCATAAGAGTGAATCCTCTGTACCGTCTTTTAAAAACTCTCATTCTTATATCTTCACAGCTGCTCCACATTCTGCTTAACCAGCCACAGGTGTACAGCTGATTAAAGGTAAGTAACGCCTGAATCAACAGGAGGTATTGGTATATATGTGTTATTTTATTTTATGACCTCTAAATCCCATTCCCCTCCACTGCTGCTGGCCATTTTCTTATCTGCCAGCTTTTCCTTTATTGAAACCAGCTGTGATCACACACTCAAAAGTATGAACATACAGTAGGAGGCCACAAATACCGCTGACTCATGGCGCATATGTTACAGGAATCTGACATTTAAACCAAAAACAGAAAGTCGCTTCAGTCCTCATTCAGTGTTCATGATAAAGTGAGTGTGCGGTCATGATGTCCTTACATTCCTTTGAGTCTATTTGTCCATACCAGAGGTCCTGAAATGGCCTGAAATGAAAGAGTTCAGTAGGCCAGTGTGAAAACATACACACTCATGCAGGGGTTGAATTAACCCAGCAGGGCGTTCACAAATGAGCAGCTTTCACGCTGACTCCAGAAGCTGCTGCTGTCTTTCTTCATCTCCAGACCTCCGCTCTCGTCTTAATTGGGGAAATGACACTGTTTTCTGCAACTCTTTGTTTCCAGATGAAGGGATCATAAGCAGGAGGCAGATGATGTGGACTTTTGGCCAGGTGTGTTTGTTTGAACAGGATAAACGAGTGGCTGTAACAGAAGCACGCAGAACCGAAGGTCGGGTCAGCTCTCCCCTTTTTATGTGACAGTTCATTTTACAAGATCTTTCCCAGTTCCTTGTCATTTGCGGGCTGTCAAAGGCTGCAGCGTTGACAACAATATTAGCTTTATGCATTAGAGACATGGAGAAATGGCAACAGCTGAAGACACACGTACTCTATATTTCTATGGAGCAGAACACATTTCAGACTCCTCATTTGTCTTATGTGAGACAGAAATAACAAAACCTTTAAGGCATCTGTGTCTTTACATCGTATACGTTACCCCACCTCCATAGCAATACACTATTCAAGATTCTATCAGTAAATTTTTTTTTTTTTTCTTATTGATTAATGAATTAACTGAAACTAACTCTGAGATCTTTTTTTTTACCTACAAAAGTAAACATGGGTCAGTGGTGGATAAATAAATGTAGAGCATGCACATCTGGAAGTGCCTTTGTTGACTTTTCTCCACAGACAGTTTCGTGATGAGTGAGGATGAATATTTTCAGGGAAGTAATAAGCAGCATGCCTCACTTTGTCCACAAACCAAAAGTTCCTCACAGTAGCTTTAAATCTACAACACAGCATTTAAAGTTATGCTTATGATCATGTGCTTTATTAAAAAAAAATCATCATCTTAATAAACCTAAATATTTGAGTTAATGTAGCGGAATGAAAAAATTCAAAACTTGTGCCAGAAAAATATTAGAGTAGAGAAATGTAGATTTACATGACATGGAAGTACTCGACTGAAGTACCTGCATTGATGAGCTGGGCAGTTAGAGATCGACCACTTTGCATTTTAACTCCGATTAATCAAATTCATCTGAGTTTAAGTACCCAATACTTTTTTGTGGCACCATGTATCAAAGTTCAACATTAACACACACTGTTAAAGGCAACATGAGCATCATTTAAATATTGTGTTATGTTTTGACAAGAGTCACAGCACAATAAAAAAGAGTGACAGCTACGGTCACCTCCTTCAGCATGTTTGAATGTAGCATAAACATTCTTCAAATGAAAAGCACACAATGAACTATGAAGGAAACATACTAAAGTGATTACACAGGGATTGAAGCCAAAACATGATGATTGCAGTCCAGAAAAATTCAGTCATTACACAGAAACTCTGACTGATTTGTTTGTTTACCTGCAATGATGTAACAACTTGGATCTGAAACCTGGACTGTGCTGATTTCACTTATCCTTATATAGTTACTCCAACTTTTAAATTGCACAATTATGACGATTGATCTTTTACTGAGTCGGTCACATGATCCGTGTTCCTCTTTTTCATCTTTGTTTTCCCTTCTGTATTTTTGTGATTTATGTTCAGGTGTCTCTGGTTTCTCCATTTTCATGCTCCGACACCCTCTCTGATCGCTCTCCAAGACATCATTAAGGTGAATACATTTCCTGATCTCCGGATCCAGTTGTGGAATTATTTCATGTGTGCACATTGTGTGTGATTATTGCTCAGTGACACCAGATGCTGACCCAGTGCTATGTGCTGTTATATGTAGATACTGGTTCTCTATTTAAATCCAGAACTTTCACCATGCTTGACCACGTTTTACTGTCCTAAAAACTCATCTTGTGAAACAAATCTATTATTTCAACCATTCTATAACACTGCATCTATAAAAAAGATGATTTTTTTTTTATTCATGTTTCAATTCGGTGTTTAACTCCCCTTCACATTCTAAGTGTTTAAAGCTGTTTCCACAGCATCTGTAAACAGTGCTGATGTTTTCAGATTTATAGGTGCTCTTTATTGCACTTGTTGCTGTGTGTATGTTGTTCATTAAGACATCAAAATGCTTTACAGTTCATTGCTCTTTCACACTGCCTGCTGGAGCCGGAGCTGTAATTCCAGTTAGTGAGGGATCAGATGGAGGTCACCACTGGTCTGTGGGGGTTTCAGCGCTGCACAAGTCCATCGAGCCTCTCCAGACTACATTACAGCTTTTATCCCCACTAATGGGATCTCTTGGTGGGGAATCCTGAGGGTGATGGGGATTAGGATACCTGGCCTTGCTCCCACGCACAGTTTACCATGTGGGGCGCAGAAAATATGTTGCACATGCTGAGACGGCTGCAGGAAACCTTTACATCTCTGGATACCCAAAGACACCACAGAGACCGGTGTTTTTTGAGCATGATTTATCTGTGTTCACACGCATATTGTCAGGAATTATGTCTCATAGTCATCCTCTCTTTGCACAGTTGTAGCTTTTTGTGGCCTCTCCACGCCCTGACCCGTTTGAATCTGACACCGCCTGCAACTCAATGAGAGAGTATCAGATGATAGAGAGCAGGGCGACGCTCGGGTCCGGGGAGACGACGCTGAATGTTAACTTTCTATCCTGCTTGATTTAGAAAGACATTGTTGGATACGTTTTGGAGTTTCCCAGTGTTACGGCCAAAGAAGAAGAAAGAGGAGTGAGAAAAGCTGAACTTGGAGGAATATTAAAGAGAAGGCCTCGCGTAGAGAGGAGGGAGAGAAAGCTTTTAGGAAAGCTGGCTGAGAATACGTCTTTTAAAAAAAAATAAAGGTATTACAAAAGAGAAAGTCATGGTGAGTATCTTTTGTCTCCTCTGTATTTGAAACCTTAGTCATGCTTAGTCACCTCAGTACTACACCATATATCTGATTGAGTCACAACTTAACGCTCCATCTGTCTGTCACATGGCGTCTGGGCCACTCTTTAAAAGAAACAACATGGCTCAGTAACCACACATCATCCACTCCTCCACCACCATCTCTTCATCTGCTCTCACACGCCTTCAGTGTGTATGTGTTTGTTTATTTCCACGTTCCTCATCCAGCTTTTTTTCATCTTATGACAAGAGAGAGTGTTTCACTCCATCCTCTCTACAATAACAACAACTTAAACAGTGATACGTGATAAATCTTGATCTGACATGTAGTTAGATTTTATTTATTTGTTTTTCCTTTCCCTTTTCTTTTCTTATTTGACAGCCGCTCTTCTCTTTCTCACATAGCCCTGCTGCAGTAGCAGCAACAGCTCTGGTGCTAAGAGCAGCAACAAGGAAAGGTCAGGTGGAGTCCATTGTTATAGAGCTGTCAGGTCGGGGATTTACAGGCAGCAGGTTCACACTGTTTGTGGTGCCCCGCTCACTGTTTCCATATTTTTGTTTTATAGACAGAAAGACAGAGATATGATTTAGAAGGGACCGAGCTCCTGCACAGTCTGTACTAACTATTCTTCTTTGCAAGAGTGATCTGAGGACAGAGCAGCTCACAATTACAGCTGCAACTATTTTTAATAAATAACTTTTCTCTCTGTTTAATACAAAAGTCCTAAGCAGCCATAACATACACTTCATTTACTGAGTTTTCCCAAGATAACAAGTTATTTCAAGTTGGTTTTTTTTTTAGAATCTCAGCTATAGTTTCCCCAGAGTTGCAAAAGAACAAAACAAACATGGAGGTTTGCAATGGTGCAATGGCACCATAGCATGTCGTGATCTGGCCCATCACAGTAACCAGCCTGTATCGTTTTGCTTCCTAAATTGCCAAAAAAGTATCCCCTTAGAATAAGAAAACAAGCCTTGTGTTGGAGCCATGGATTGGTATAATTGTCTTTGTGCTATTTATTTAAGGTTAAGGTAGTTTGTTATATATTGGTGTTTTGGGTTATTGATTATTATATCATTTATTAGGATTGTGTTGAGTCAGGGGATGTCGGGTCACGTGTTGATTTAACTCACCTGTTCACCTTTTGTTCTCAGTGGAAGAGAGGGGGTGAGCTGGGTGGCTGTATTTTTTGTTGACCGCTATTGTTTCTAGTTCACTGTGATTATGAGTTAATGCACGTTATTATAAGTTAAGTTGATTATCTTTTTTACGTTAATAAAAAAGTCAAACTTATTTTTACGGATCACAGTATTCTTTTGAAAGCGCGTCGGACAAATACATTAGGCCCAACCTCAGCCTCTCAGCGGCTTCATATTCAGGAACGCTGCTACACCTTGTATTAAGCCTTGTAAGCCTTCTTATATTGAGATATGAAATAATGAATCGGTTAAGATGGTAAAACCAGCTTTGTTATCCTGAGATAATGTGAAGAACCAGTGGACATCTCTGGAAAACAACTAGAAATGACTTGTAATCAGGGGGAAATGCGGATGTATGGATGCATGTCCACTTAGGGCGTCCGTATTTTAACAATAACCTTTTCTTAATAATAATATATTTTTCTCAGTAATTCCCTTTATTGACTCTAATGTTACCAAAGTTATGTTTTGTGTGACAAAAAGGCCAAAACAAACAAAACACAATGATTAGTCTTACAGTGAAATAAAGAATAAAAAAAGATAGCTTAAGTTTATAATACTGAATTATTGTGCTCATAAAAGATTTTAACTGATCAGCTAAAGAAATTCTGATTTAGAAGTAATCAAATGCAATTCAAATGTTTTTCATCTCTCCTTAAGTTGTAAAGAACCAGGTTTAGTGTGTTCATGTTGTTGCCTTGTGTCCTAACTATTTTGAAAAGTGAAATGACCTTGGGCAAGGCCCTCTCTTCTGAAACTGCTCCACTGAAGCTTCTTGTTACACGTGGGAGTTGTAACAGGCAGCTGTCAACTGTGAAACAGACCGCTGGGAAAGAACGCACATTCCTGCTCCAGTTTTTATGAGATGATTTCATGCAAAAGGCTGTAATGGGTATGCATTTTTTTGTGCAAAGTCAAAAAACAATTAGGAGAACTAATGACAGCACGGCTCAGGTTACAACCTCTGAGTTTCCTGTGTGTCCTCGGGGGTTTTTGTTGTGGGTGACTGGAGGGCACCAAGGACTTGACGCCTGAGCGGAGTTCCTTTAGTTCCTGGTGGAGTTCGTGAACTTGCGCTCTTTAAGCTGACAGTCATTCAACACTCTGCCAAGTCACTGGCTCATAATTCATCAGCACCTTCTGGCGACATGGGCTCTGCATGAGGAGAGAGAGTGATGAGATACATAACATGAGCAGAGCAGAAGCTAGGATCTTGACGTGTCAAACACAAAAGAGAAACTTTCATCTACTTGCTCAGTCTAGGCCGTCTCATAAGAATTCAATTCTTGTTTTACTATTGATTTTATGGTGATGTTGTCCTTGTATGTGTTGTCTATATGTGCTCCTGCTGCAAAAACAAATTTCAACCTTTTGGGACAATAAAGAATCTGAATCCGAAATATCCATAATTGTTTTTACACAGATGACACTTAGATATGTTTAAAGGGATACTTCACCCCCTTGAAACATGAATCTGTATTGACATTGGGTCATATATGTAGTAGAAATGTGAAATACATTTTGAAGTTGGTGCCTTCTTGGCCAAGAAAAGGCAGAAAGTGTATTTTTGGCTCATGTTAATGAGAGACACCAAATCCCAGAATGCACAGCACCGCAGGCCACTCCCACTAAGGTCTTCTAGTTCAGAATCAGAAATACTTTATTAATCCCAGAGGGATTCTCCAAAAGTTTCTCCAGTTTCTCCAAAATATACAATATAACCGTAGAAATATAGTAATAAAAACATTTACAGACAGATTTACTTCAACACATTTACATTTCCTCAACTGATTCAGAGAGTTCTTCCAGAATTGAATTGGTATCTTGGAAATTCCTGGCAGAAAACAGACTCTATGTCTGTGTCCATAGACAAACAGTGAGAGCACCGACACTACCAGTACGCCCCAGCTCGAGCCGTCCCGGGCTCCTCGTCCTCACCAACGCCGACAGGCAGGCCTTATGTCTCGGCTGCTGAGCTGGCAGCGGCCGGCGGTGGCCAGCATTATAGCAATATGGCCGCGAGACGGTTGCTGCCGACAGGCCAGTCTAGTGTCGCGGCGGCCCCGGCGGCCACCGGCACTTTCTCCATAAAGCCTGTTAGCATAGCTTCGGAGCAATATGCCGGACGTTAAGTTTCAATTCTGGGAGTGAGTTCACACCCACTGATCTGTGATTGGTCTGTAGCTTCAGTGGTCGAAAATATGAGGAACTAGCGTTGTAGTTTCACCCCGCTAACCGCAACAGCTTCCGATGATGCGATTTTTGTGTCATCGGAAGCTCCTTTTCAGACTTAGAAATACAAAGATTTCCCATCTCAGGGGAAAATGAGGGCGGGATGCACGACCATTCAAAAATATTACCAGGTATCTAATGATACAAAGGTTAATGAAAATGGGTGAAGTATCCCTTTAAGCTGTGACTGTCAACCTGTTAACTGTCTGCATGTCATCTAGATGTAACAAAATTACCAGCATCTTATAATCCTATATAGGTCAAGATTGTGCTAATGCATTGAAACAAAGCAGTCACAGTACTCCATCCGATTTAAAAACTCGGAAGTTGTAGAATTCTTGGTGTCATTTTTAAAAGTCAAACCTCAGTTTACACAATAACATTAATTCTGTACTTCCATCTTGCCTTCACAATCTCAGAAACATTCCGATGACAAAACCATTTCTCGCCACATAACATGTGGACATTATTCATGCGTTCATAACCTGAAGACATCAAAGTGACATAGAAGTTAACTATGTCTCAAGATAAATAAAAGACCCTTTATGAACTAAAACAAAATGCTAACTAATTAAACATGTTTAAAGAAAGAATCATATCAGTTACATAAAAACAATAATACAAATAAAAATAACTCAAATGATCACATCGATCCTTATGAAACTCGCCAATGTTAAATGATTACGTATGAATTACCATACGAATGAATAATGCACTGATCTTTTTCTTTCATTGTCACTTTGCTGCCTGTTGTACATTCCTGCATCAGCTGCATCTGCATTTGGTAGAGAAACACAAAATAAAAAAAGTACAAGATACACACGTCTTACAAACCTTGCCTTTACATACCACATACAAATAGCCAGAGTGTTCCTTTTTGTTGTTGTCACTGCAATAGATACATATTCAGTGAACACAGCTGTTTGTTTATTGTAAATAGACTGTCTCTGCATCATTACATAACTTTATGAAGAGCTGAGTCTTGTGTAATGGATTATCTCAGTATAGTTATGTCCATGTATCAGTGGTAGCAGGTGTTGGCTGAGTTCTGGTGTTACTAATCTGAATGTGGATGGGAGTTGAATGTAAGGACACACAGCTGCAGCGCGGCCTCGTCTGTACTGAGATCAGACTTTGGCCACTTCAGACGCTTCACATGCCTGTTATCAACGTCCTGCTGCCTTCACGTAGCCACCAGACGCTTGTTGCTGCCTCTGAGCTTCAGGGAATAACAATAATAATGGTTTCAGGTGCATTGGTCTGAAATTTGATTATAACGGTTTGTATTTTCATCATGGTTGCATAATCCTAATGTCGCCAAGAAGTTATTAGCCAGATGGGACAGGACAGAGTAAACAGACGTGTGTCCAATATTTGGTGAGTGGAGAAAAATAGAGAGAGTAGAGAAGGCTGAGACCTCTATGAACTGTTTTTACTGGTTATGCTGGTACGGGACGTGTCTTTCTGAGTCTCCTCCAACTGGATCCCTCGGGTTTGACACAGTTGATGTTTTCTGCAGTTTTCTTTGGCTTTGCATGCAATGTTTGGATTCTACGGCTTATTATAAACAGACTTGCCTTTGCAAAGCTTTTGTGATTATCCAAGATTCTCAGGCACTCATGCCCTCCAGCTCTTTGTTCCTCTGGCTGCAGATAACCTTCAGATAGAAGTTTAGAATTAAACACTTGTCGCTGGAATGTTTTGTCACAGCCCTGGTTTCATTTGGAGCTGTAAATCGCTGTGCCATCTCCTGTCTGTTGGATTTATAGACCCCAATCAGCGAGGGATTAAATGCCGCTAAAAAAAACAATAAACTCCAGCTGAGCACAGAGCTGAGATATGCTGTGCTGGAATCCAATTATGAGTGTCGTTGCTTCATCACTCTGCCCGTAGCTGAAAAGGGAACCAGTCAGGGGGACGAAGCCCTGAAACTGAGTTTGTAGTTGATCTACATAGAGAGTATTATAGTAAATGAGCTCCAATGCTTTAAGGGGTCTGTTTCAGACTCTGTAAGTGGGGGTTTGCTTTGTTTCTGTGTACTATGCTGCGTTTAAGGATTAAACTGTGTAAAGGTTGCCCTAAGCACTTGGATAGCTCTAAAGTCCAGTTTGCGGCTTCTCTCAGAGCTCACAGCGACAACAAATGAACAGAGCTGTTATTCCCTGCAGAACAGGAAAAGGCTTCAGTATAAACCATATTGCCAAACCTCAGTGAAATTCTGATGAAGGAAAGAATGCGGCGAATGAAGCCACGTTTGCTTCCTTTTTCAATTTTTTTCTAACCATGAAAACCGCAGTGCAGTATTTTGTCTTGCTCAGCTTCCACTTCACTTGCACATGCAGCTCTGGCAGAGTTAGAGTCATTTAAAGGCCTGTTGTAGAGATGAGCAGTGGAAGTGTGCTTTAAATCCACAGACATGCAGTCAAAATACAGACTTTGTGGAAACTTAAATTGTTTTGTTGGCATTGTGCGTCACGCTAAGAGAGGCCCGAGTGTTTCTTATTCTGACACAAGTTGTTTAGTATATTCTTGGAAATGGCTGCACATTGAGACTGGTAGTGATTATGAATCCCATAGTGTTTTGTTGGTTAGCAGTGTCCCAAAATTAATAATGTGTGTAACATAGCTTCTGCTGCAAACAGCATAGTGAAGAGGTCTTGTTAGTCAGAGCAGCATCTGGTTCCTGTTGCTTCATATAAAACATCTAGAGCCTCAAATCACATTGATGGGTAATTAAAAAAAATACAGAATATAATCAGAAACAGTCAAATAAAAGAGCACACTTTGAGACTTTTTGTGAACAATTTTATTCCTGGTTCGGGGGTTGGGGTTACACACACACACACACACACACACACACACACACACACACACACACAGCACACACACACACACATACACTCCTCAGTTATCAGGCTTCTTCGTTACCTGGCAACTGCCTTTTTACCATGTGTGGGCGGTTCCTTTGTGAGTTCTCTGGAGCAGAGAACTGTGGTGATAACATTCTGGAACATTCCGGAACATTCCATTCAGGAAGTAAAGTGGATCAAGGAGTAGTTTACTCGGACACAGGAGGCCAAAAATTCAAAACTATTATCAGAGTAACGTCTTGTATTTTTTTACAGAACAGTTTTGTTTAACCTGAAGAAAATTTATTCTTAAAAGATGTAAAATACTGTTTAGGAATCCTTTTTTTTAAACAATGCATGCCGCTGTGTTTAGCAAAAAAGCTAGAAAACTGTTCGCTAACCATCAAGCAGCAACCAGCGGCCAGACGCTTCTGCCCTGTTGACTTAGCAAAGCAGCTAGCAAGCTAAAGAGCAAGACCAACAAAATGTACTTTAGTGTGTAGACAATTATCCCTTTTCAGAGTGAGATGGCACCGTAACCAAGCCTGGCTGTCATTATGTCTTTGTACATTCATAATAAGACCTGTTCAGACTACCATTTCAAGGAGCGATGTTTAAATCCCTGTGACGTTTCGCCATCAATATAAATGTCACAGAAGCGTTTCGGGGTGAACGAAGTGATCCCTTCCCTGTACCTTCTTTGGAGGTAGGTAACGGAGTCGTTACAGGCGTGAGAGCGGATGGACGGAGTCAGCGGGGAACGCAGCACTATTTGTCCGACTGAGCGTGTGTGTATGTGGAGCTCCCTCTGCCATGCTCTCTTACGTTTACACAATATTGTTAGGGTTTTTAAATTCACAAACTGGGACACCAATATTACGCCGTTGTGGAATCAATGTGACAGTACAATGAAAACAGCGTAATATTTGTGACCCAGTCTGTGAATTCTCATTACTTTAAAGTGTTGCAGAAGCAGGAGGTCCAGAGAAACAGCAGGAGGTCCACATACATACACTCAGACATGCACAACCACACAGTGCTGCTCTCCTCTGTGAGCTCAGCCGATCCTGTATCACCCCTGTAACACCTAGCTCTGAAGAGAGGTGGGGCCACTGTCCCCCCCCCCCATTACGACTCTGTGACATTCACAGTGAAGACATGACGGAACAGGTCTTTAAATATCGCACCTTGAATATCCAGTCTAAATAGGGGTAATATGTTGCTCCATACAAGAGACAAACATATAAATGAATAAACCTATGAAGAACATTATTTTGCTGTTAGATTTGTAAATTGAAATGATTCATGTTTTATGAAAAGCATAACAAAGAAGGTCAACATCGACTTTCTGCTTATTCCTTTTGAATGGTTTCCTGTAGAGGCATAATGTTGCACTGATACAAAATGTAATATTTAAGACTAAAAGGCCTGTTTCTTCAAAGACTGATTGGATTTATTCCTCCAATGTGATGACATAACATGACGCTTGGGTTTTGGGTTACGCATGTTTTGAGACAAGATACTTTTAGTTGAATGTTGAATATTTTAAAGAAATCTATAACCTAAGATGTCTACGGATTCGGCAGAAGTGTCGCTATTGAGTCTCAACTGTCTCTGTGCGTGGAGAGACTCACACTGGAGAGTGCCAGCGGGAATGTTCGCTCTGAGGCTGTAAATATTTGGGTCTATTTACTGAGTCCTTTACTCTAGGTTTGTTCTTCCACTGAAAGGACCCAAATTCTTTTGTCCCTATCTCCTCCACGGAAACAGCTTACAAAACTTGATTTATCTTTGTCACATGGTCAGACGCTCTCGCCCACATTGTGCCTTTCTATCACAGCCTCTTTTAATGATTTCTTGATATTAAAACCATATTTGAGTGGTGGAGGCTTTGTTTTGAATTGGCCCCATCTTCCTACTTCCTCCTCACACGTTTGCAGTTGGAACAATAAGTAACAGCTGCATGGCCGTCTGTGACTGCAGACCCTTTCAATTCAACTGTCACTGTGAATCACAAATATAAAGACACTGCTGTTATATCTCTGGTCTCACTGAACGGCTCGTACCTCACACGATCTCTGACATTCCCCTGAATCTGTCTCCCCTCTGGTGTCAGTTAAAAAACCAAATACCCAATCCACTATTGGGCCGTGCCTGTCGTTCCTGCATTACCATCAAATATTTGGTGCTGAGCGCCTCATCATACCGAGAGGTTTTGTGGAAAGAGTTTATTTTTTCTGACGTTTGAGGACATGACATTTATTTTCCTTTGTTCATTTCCCTATTGGGCAGAATTACAGGGACTTGCAGGGTCAAGATTTGTTAAGGGTCTGGACTAAAACAATAAGAAAAGATATTAGAGATAATAAATGAAACTAAAAACAAACTTTGGAGTCAGATGTCACGGGGTTGAGTTTTCATTTGTTGAAGCTCAAATAATAAGCCAGTTTACATAGTTTTAGACTTTTCTATTTCTGTTACGTCACCTCGCTGGAAAGTATTTTCAAATGCATTTGTTATCTTATTGTTGCAAGATATTCATGGAGTCCGCTACCAGGGGAATATTGAAGTTGGACTAACTGGACAATAATCTGTGAGTTGACTTAACAGAGATAAGTATGTTTATTTTGACCTTTGGGACCTCAGTTTCTGTTATGACCATTATATCATTTGATTTGGCCAACAGATGCCTTTTTCCTTTCCATACCTCCAGGTTTAATGCATGTTTCAGGAGAAGCCAGAGGTTGGAGCTACAGAGAACCGTTTGGGTCGACTTCCAGCAGCAGATTCTCTTCTTTACACGTCGATCTACCCTGACTGGCTCAAGAGACAAGGAGACACATACTCCTTGTCTCCTCCTGATGGATTTCATCACAATCAGATTTCATACTTTAGTTTTGTTTTTTGCTAACTGTGTTTTTTCCTCTTTTTTTTTACTTTTCCTCTTACAGCTCATGCTGCCAAACTGAAATGACATCATGCTGAGGGAAAGCTGGGGATAAATACATACCCAAAAGGCCCTGCAGGAGAACCAGGTTCTGACGGCAGGAGGGGTATCTGCTCAACAGGAGGATAAGAGATTTATAAGGGAGGACAATATAATGTCTGAAAAGGTAATTTCTGGCACAGATGAAGCTTTTTGTCAAGTGCTGCAACAACACAGGGAGTGAAATGTGGAAAATATGTGCTCTGTTTTGACCTGAGGAGAGATAGAGTACGCGCAGATGGGATGGGAGGGCTTCTGATGAAAAGGGACAGGGTTGTAGAAGCAATAAATATATCGGGATGGAAAAAAGGGGACATAAAACACTGACGCACAGGCTGGAGAGGAGAAAGGGGACATTCTTTGTGTTCACAGTGCCTCTCTTTAAAGAACTGCTCTTTAAAAAGGCTCCAGTTTCTCTGTGACCAGAGGTTCCGGTGCCGAATGGGTCAAGAGCAGCAGGGTTGTTTTAGAAGGTTCAGATTGCTTGTTTGAATCTGAAGCCAATTATCAGATTAAAACAACTGTGATCCACTTAATAAATCCCTAGTTGCTTACAGAGACTGTCGTGGGGCCCTCACAGCATGCCAGCCTAATGGTCACTCAAGTCTTGATCCTCCGGCCCACCATGTTGGTGTTAAAACTGAGCACATATTAGTTAATCTCCTTTAATATAAAGCTTATTAAATTCAGTCTAACATATGAAATGAATCAGCTGGCAACAATATTGAACTTTTACAGGCTATGACTTGTCCTCAGCAGTTTATCCACTGAAATTTAAGGTATGCCTGCTCACACATACACAGCATGAACTCACTCATCAGGAATCCTCCACAACGCTCCTTTCCAGACTTAACAAGCTTAACCCCAACAGCTACCAGTAATGATGACATATATATATATATAAATAAATAATGCACTAAATAATTCTGAAGAAAGTTAAACACAAGAGACAAAGCCAGCTGGTAACCTGCTGGCTCTTATTTTTAATTTCTTACATTTTTTCCCTCGCTCCTTCATCACACAGTGACAGACTAATAACGCTCTTCCCTGAACAGTGGCCAGATGTTGATGAATTTGACACATGTTTTGTCCACAGGGGGAAAATGGTGATTCCTTTTTATTTTCTTAAATGAATCATCTCGGAAAGTGTGAGAATCTGAGCATGTTAGAAGGAAAGTGACTGAGAGTGGTAATAAATTGGGGATTCGTGGTCGCTGACCTTCAGGGCTCACTTTGCTAAATATCTTGGATCTGTGATGACAAAGCTATTTGATGATGGAGTTAATCACTTTTTTTCTCCATTGACCTTCTTCGCAACATTACTTTTGATGACCATAAGTTAGAAACTATTATCTTTTGTCTCTCCTAAGATGAGACATTGGAACATGCGTACAGTGTTAATGTCAATAATCTGATGGCAGTTCTGTGAAGGAAAATAAATCACTTAGTTATTTAGTCCTTAAACCTTTCAGACTTGTGACACTTTGAAGTGGCCACTATGTTGATGTGAGAAGTGTGCATATAAAACATATACCTCTAGCCAGACTGTTTCATCGATGGTTTTAAAATGATTTTTATAAAACATTTGGAAAAGTTGTATGTATAGCATATTAACTTCAATAGGTTGACCAAAATAAAAACCTCAAAAAGGTCTTTAAATCAAGCCAAGCAAACATCATGTCGCCAGAGAAGGCAATGTTCTTTTTCTAATCACTGTATGAGTTGTCAGTCCATCATTTCTGGTAAAAACACAACTGTTTGATTTCTTATCCTAAATTAAGTACACTTATATGTTCCCCAGAAGATGAACTACTCTGAAGTACGTGATTCCTTTGACTTTTCTTGGACTAGCAGGTCAAACTTTTACATTCCAACAAGGTTGAGGCTATTTTTTTCTTAAAATAAATTTGGTCTAGCTCCACCATGAGGCTGGTCTGATTTTCATTTAAATGTATTGAACGTTTCCTAAAATTTGGTGATCACATACATCTCTTGTGTGAACATGCTACCTTGGTGTTAGCATTAAGCCCAACTGTTTTATAGAATAACCCTTCTCTCTTTGAGGCTGGCGTGACTAGCGATGTGAACCAACAAACACACGACTGCTAGAATAACAAGCTGTCGGTTTTATGAAAAATCACTCAACCCAAATGTTGTTTTCTTTTTTATGTTCATTCTGCCACTAATCTCTGCTCCTCTGAATGTTAGGAAGAAGTCTGAGACATACCCTGTCATCTTCACTGCTGGATGCAAAAGATACTACATCATTTAAGTAAAGAATTATCAAAATAAAATAAAATGTATTAACCAATTAATGACAGCTGAGAGTAAACAAAAAGCTCATAAAATATCTTCAAGTTCACATGCAGTTAAATCAAAGTCTGACAGCCCTTTATTTTCTTCATAGAGCGGCTCAAACTAAATCGTTAAAATGCTGTCATGTTTACATCTGGTGTGTTCACTGACCACAAGGTCTGCTCAGTTAAAGACAGTGACTGCTCGACGCTACTGGCCAATAAAATGGCAATCCGACCTGCTGTCCATGTATGAAATACTCTTAAAACTTCATGTGAGTGTTTGTGTTAGTCCCGTTATGACTAGAAACCCGCCCAGGTCTACTTTTCCACCAAATGCATGCAGGCCCCTGTGACTGTTGAATGGAATAATCAGGTAAAGCCTGAACATTGAATGAACACTGTTAAAGAAGACAAATGGGTTTGAAAGTGTACGATATACTACAGACAGCTGGCTTTAACAGTTTAGGCCAGATTTTTCCTTTAAAACTGTCAAGTATATTGCAGGTGCCTCCCCTGAAAACTGAACCATGAATGAACCTCGAAACACGTGTCAGACAAGGAACTGCTAATCTACCGTATAAAAGAGAGGAGACAGCTGTGATACTGGGCCCGGAGAGGCTTTTTTTTTTTTTTAATCTTGAAAAGATGTCTTGCTATACACATTAATTCACAGAAGCTGACAGACCGAGAAAATTATACAGGGAAGTTTCCATAACATGTAGGAAACTTTGACCCACTTACCAAAAAAAAAAACTTTTAGGCATTAGTTCAACTTGAAAAATGTTCTCACTTAGCAAAAGCAAGACTTTATAAATGCAACATTATTTTATGAAACACAGACAAAAAAGTTTGGATGACAAGAAGAACTAAATTGCCAAAATGAAGACAAAGCCCACATACCTGTTTCTCTAAAGCTCACTTACTCATATATAACATTTGTTTTGTTTGATTCTGAGAAATAATTTGTGGTTTTCTGGGGACTTACATTTTGATTTTCACATTTCTGGAATTTCACAAATATTAAAAACAAGGTACAATGATTGAATCGTAAAGCTTTCTGTTATAGCAGTTCTTCATGAGATGTTTTGACAGTGCTGAAAAACAATGTGAGCAAACTTTGTTGTGAGGAAGAGTGAAGAGAAGAGGATGGAAAAAGAGGAATCCACAGAATCATAGCCAAGTCTTTCAATGCCAAACGCACGCACGCGCACGCACGCACGCACACACACACACGCACACGCACACACACACACACACACACACACACACACACACACACACACACACACACACACACACACACACACACACACACACACACACACACACACACACACACACACAAAGGGAACCTGTTGTGCTCTGTCTGTGATACCCTCATCACACAGCATGCTTATAGAGTTACACATTTACACCTCTCTGGGCGTTTGCCTGTTACTTTCCTTTAATCCACAGTGATTTCCCTCCATGTTTCTGTGAGAATGTATCTTATAATTAATCTGTCAGCACCAAACTTTTCTCTGTGCAGGAACAAAACCAGATGAAGATTTCATTGATCAGGAGCACGTTTAGGTAGGTGTTTCCTCTGGGATGACATTTTTCTCTTTGGACAACAGCGGCCACATTGTACCTGCAGCCTGACTTGTGTCCTTGTTGGGAGATTCCTCAGCATTCCTGAAAGCACTGTCGCTGTGACTGGAAGCTCTGTTTCGCCACCCCTGGAGCTTCGACAAAACCCATGGGAGCGTCAGTTGCACTGCTTCTCAAATTCCACAGGATTGCAGAGATCCCGAATGAGAGATGAAAGACCTCTGAGTATATGGAGGAGGTGAACGCTGCTGCCAACACGCCCTAGCAGACCTTTGCCTGCCAGCTACAATCTCTGAGCTAACACGAGATGGCCCTCATTTTTATCTTTAATTGCTTTGGCACAGATGATAGCAAAAATGCAGTCATAACAGAAACAAGATTTATCTTGTTTGGGTAAAGCTGTAGGCTTCAAGTAAAAGTGCCAACTGCTCGAAGTGATGAATAACAGAAACACTTATGATCGCTAAAACAGTCGTAAAGGTAAAAACTATAATCACAGCTCTTAATTCATGGCAGTAAATGTTAAATCTTTCCACCATGACAAAGCTACACTGAAAACACTGAAGTGGTCAAGACTTAATTCAACAAGATGACAGTATAATGCCTTAAAACAGGACCAGTTTTGTACTTTTTCAATAAAGAAATATCACTGTCTTAAAGCCTTGAATTTGCAGGTTAACTGAAAAAGGAGTTCTTAAATGCAGTAAAACTCAGTGAGTAAACATACAATCGGTTCAGTCAGCAAATGTCTACTCAATGTGATGACTGCTGAAAAGGCCTAATATTTTTATTTTCTGCTGTTCGGTCATCTTTTGTCTGTTGATTCATCTTTTTCGACTGGGGTAAAGGACAAACTTTTTATGAAAAAATACTCACATTATGATTGTTACATTTGCATTTCTGAGTGCAGAGTTTTTAAAACTTTTCTAAGAGACCACTGGAGGAGTAAATTACTTAAATTTACACTTTAAAATAAATTTAACATGTGGTACAATTTCGTACATTAAAGGCCTACAACATAACATCCCACGTCAGTCTTTTCATCAATGAGCACTTGGCTCTGTGGCAAGGAGAAGCTTCCCTTAAACAAGAACAACCCTTGAGTGGAACCAGACTAATTTATGAGCAGCAATCTGCCTGAACTTGATCTCCCATGAGAGGGG